GAGAGGAGAGAGAGGAGAGAGACCACCCAACCGATACTAGACCCTCGCTACTGGAAGGAAAGGAGAGGAGACCCCAACCGATACTAGACAAGCGAAAGCGGTCTTCCATCGGTCTTCTTCCTCGACGTCTGCTTGATGGTACGCTTTCACCATATCTAGAGAGGAGAACACTGAGGCTCCTGAAAAGGCGTCGAACATGTCATCTGCACGTTGCAGAGGGTAGCGGTCATCTCTGGTGACAGCGTTAAGATTGCGGTAATCTACGCAGAATCTGCTTTTGCCGTTCTGTTGGACGGTGACTATGGGCAATGCCACCCTGGAGTTGCTTGGTTCGATGATTCCCATCTCTAGGAGTTGGTCTACGTGTTTGTGAATGATCTTCCTCTTCTCTGGGCTGCATCTCCTGGGGGGCTCTGCCCGCAGACGCTCCCCGTCGGTCAGTGGGATGCTCATCTTCGGTCCCTTGAGGTGACCTGGTCGTCCATCGAGCGAGAACGCGGCTTTGTTCTCTTCTCTCAAAGCGCCTCGATGATGGATTGAGGGGGCAAGCCTGAGCCATCGACGCCAATCTGGAAGATCCCATCTACCAGGGCCGAGTCTTTGTCCCCAGAGCGGGCTCCCTTTGCAAAATAGTCGAGATCCTCTCTGCCGTCTAGCGGTCGACTGTCCACCTCCACATCGTCTGAGTCCGCGGAAGCGCATTCCGGGTGGTGATCGGTTCCGAGGTCCGGTTCCGGTCCGAGGGAGAAGCAGTGTGGAGTGGCCCGCGCGCCCGTTGAGAGTCGGGACGCGCACGTGAGCTGGGCGCCTCGTGGAAGAGTCACGTGGGACGAAGAGAGATTGGTAATCAAGACCTGTTGCGACTCGGTCCGCAGGAGACATGCTGGAAGTGCAAAGACTACCTCGCTGGACCCATTCGACCAAGCCGACGGTCCTACAAGAAGATCTGACTTCGGAGGTGGTGCTTTGTCCCATGAGAACGATATCCAACAGTGGTGGTTAGGCGGTAGGTTGAATCTCTCTGAGGCCGTGAGCGTGTAGAAGTCGGTGGGTTTGTGATCTCCTCAAAGACACCAAATGGGCCAAGAGACCTTGACCTTGACACTGAGGGGCAGACAAGCTTTGCCATCAAAGGCGTCGATGGAGATCTTGTGAACTTGTATCCATTCGACTCCTAGGATGATCCCTGGGCAAAGCTCCTCAACCACATAGAAATCATGTCGGAATCTCAGCGCGTGGTTGCCCTCGCCATCTTGTCCCTTGACGGTGAAGGAGAGGGTGACAAATCCGACGGCTTTCTGAGCTCCGATGCCGGTGATCGTGAGATTGGTGCTTCTGATGGATCCCGGAGGTAAGTTGCTCACAAATCTAGCGTCAATGAGAGAGATGGACGAGCCGGAGTCCAAGAGTGCGGGAGTGGGGCTCTGCGATGGAGGTGAGTTGGAGTGCCCGTCCTCAAGAGTGAGGAGGAAGAAGGTCGGGATGTACTGGGAGTGGCATTGGCCTGTCCCCACGCCTGGAAGATTGGGGATGCGAGAAGCTTTAGCTTCGCCGTGGAAGATGGGGAGATCTGCCAGTTCTGGGTTGGATAGGAAGGATCGAGCTTCTTTGAGGGACAGATGAGAGACATGGTTTGAGGACGTAGTAGGAGACACTTGCGCGGGCGGTAGTTCGTTTTTGATGTGCTGGGGGGGTAGCACATTACTCTGGTGATCCGCCTCTTCACCAGGGCGACTACCCCCCTTCAGTTTCCCAGCTTGCTGGAGCCAATCTCCGTAAACCTCGAGCCCGAGCAATCCGCCGTCTCGAAGTCTGACTGCAGCTGGTCGATGGTGAAGGTACTTGGTCCCAAGCACTCCGCCCAGAAGGATTCCTGAGGATCCTCTACGGTTGTGGCCGTCCTCGATTCCGCTTTCCCATGTAGAAGATCGTGCATCCAGTCCCAATGGTTGGAGTTGCACGTCTTGCATGGGCGAGAGAGGGTGAGGAAGTCGTCTGTTCCTGGAATTCTGTATTTCGTCGTCGTCCCTTCCTTGAACAGCGCAGATGCCTTGAAGGAGTTCTTCAGGTCTTGAGTGGTGTAGCGTCGCGCAAGTGGAGCCCTGATCTCCTGCTGTTTGACTGTGTTGGTGACCGTCAGTGAACCTGAAGGAGGGGCTGGGAGGGGCTTGCCGCTCCTGACAGCCAGTGTCTTTGTCAGAGCGCTGATCTCCCTGGCGTGCTTAAGGTGAATCTTCATGTCGGGTTCCATGCTTCGTAGCTCGTTCAGTAGAAGTCTAGCCTCGGGATGGAATGAAGCGTCCGTGCGGATGAACGCTCGAACTTCCTCTGGAAGGCCTAGCTTGATGTCACGAACAAAGACGTTCACCGAGAGCTCCGGATAAGCCAAATGAAGAAGAGCGAGCTTCTTGTGGAAGTACTTGGCGATGTCTTCCTCTCCGTCCCAAACATATGCGAGAGCTTCAGCACGGAGAGCGGCTTCATTGGGACGGAAAGCTAGGGAGAGTTCTTTGATCCACGCCTTCCATGAGGTGAGACCGGCTCTTACTGGTTCGTCCATGTTGGTATACCAGTGTGTGGCAGAGTCGCGCAAACAGAAGGGAAGGCAGCGAAGGATGAGTCTTTCCCATGTCGCATCCCCTGGGAATTGGTTGATGAGTGCAGAGATCCTCGCGATGAAAAAGCCATACTCTTTGGAGCTGCCGTCGAAGTGGCCGAGGTCCTCCGTCTTGAAGAATCGTCCTTTTGAGAGGCCATCGTCCAGTCCAGTTTCCATCCCGCCAAGGAGAGGAAGGACAAAGTCTTGTTCTCTGGTGTAGGTGGGAGCCGATCGAGGCACCTCTGTGGGAACGGTCCTTGTCTGAGGCGATGGGCCGTGAGCAGCGAACTCGGCTTGAGGAGATCTCGCCGTAGCGCCGTTTGAGGCGTATTCATTGATTTGAGCGAGGTGCGCAGGAAGGGCGGCCGAGGATCGTTGGACTGGAGAAGTGGGGGGCGTGGCCAACTCAAAGCCCTTGAGGTTGACGAGAATCGTCATAGCTTCGTCCTCCGTCATTCCTGCGGCCATGAAAGCTTCCTTGGGACCGACCAGGCTATTAGGGGCGCGCCAGCGTGCAATGCCATCGAGCTTCATCCTGTGAAGGTCGCGTACCACCTCCGGAGACTGAGGAGGGGTGACTTGTGAGCTTGTAGGAAAGACCTCCCTGAGGGCTGCTGCAAATGCTCGTCGTTGGCTTTCCTCGCTCGCTTTCGCGGATGCTTCAACGAGGCTGAGCATCTGTTGGTAAGAGAAGGTGGCAGACGCCTCAGGTCCTCCCTGCAGATCCTCGACACCCGGGGCAGAAGTGGAAGTTTCAGGAGCCATGATGTTAGCAGGAGCTGAGAGAGGGCGCGGGGGGTCTTCTTTGCGACGTTTCTTGGAACGCGGCTTACGAAGAGGGGCGTCGGGGTCGTCGCGAGTGGGGACGAGGCGGTCGTTTGCTCTTCGAGCGGGTGGTGGTAAGGACTGGATAGTAACGCGGTCTTCTTCTTGCATTCGGAGAGAACACAGGTAGGTTTCGATGATCCTCTCGGCTTGGGAAGCTTGGGGACTTCTTCAAGCAGTAGGAGGAGACGCCTTGTCCACCATGTGCAGGCTGCGAGTGAATGAATTGACAAGGGAGCAAAGGTGAGATCGGACTACAGTGAGGGTAATGACCGGTTGCGTGGCTAAGCCTCGGAGCCGAGAGGAGCGTGTTCAGCACAAATATGCTCCAAGAGAGGATTCCAGTCGTATAGGTCTCGCGTCCTCACGACCTCCCTGTAGTCCGTGCTGAGCGCTGCAAAGGATGTGCCAAGCGCGCAGACTCCGACCCTCCGCGAGTCTCGCTCACTCTCAATCACTCTCATTGAGAATGATTCACTCTCAGTCACTCTCAATCACTCTCACAAGACTCATTCATTCTCGTGATCCAATCCCCAGATGAAGACATATATAAGAAGCCCCCCGGGCATCCCCCCCTTTGTACTTTCCTTTCTTTCTTCAGAGCAATACACACCCACTTCTCCGCCGCTACCTCCTCCTCTACATCACCCTCAACCACCAGCCTCTACTTGTAAGACTGATCATCTTATAGTAGTACACCCTAGCTGATTACCTGCCGTACACTTTGCTCTCCAGGTACCAGCCCTAGCCCCACCTTGTCCTTACAGCTACTCTGCCTGCTATTTGGTTCAAGCCGACAAATAGTACTCAGAGCTTACTCTAGGATCGCTACCACTACAACCACAACCACCTACTGTACAACTACAACCCGTGACCACCATCACATCAACCGTGGCTGAGCGCCCTTGCGTTTTGAGTGTTGGCTAGCGACACAATGGCGTGCATAGATTATCGTCGGGAGGATGACAGGATATGAAACGTACGACAATCTGTATATAGATAGTCAAATTACACTCCTTTATTATACACTTTCATGATCATATGTCAACTATGTTTTATTCATATTGATCATACTCTTTTTGTCACTCAATTCTAGCCAAATGCGCGTCAAATTAGCCGCTGAACCAAGATTCTAGCCAGGCCAGAAATACTTTGGCAGGATGCATGTTCACAAGTAGCCACATGACACTGCTCTAGTGCTTGAATCTGGCTGAAATATGGCTCATTTTCAGGCTTTGATTGTCAAAATGCGAGGCAGACTGCCAATCTCACCTGCAGCGTGCTAGAATTGAGTGACGAAAGGAGTAAGTTACCGCCAATTATCGACAATCACGTCCCAAACATTAGCCGAAACACCTAGCGGATTGTATCGATGATGAGCCTATCCATTCTACTGCCGGGAGTTTTAGCGACGTGATCCCAAGGTCACTGAACGTCTTTAGCCTGCTGGTGAATTTTTGCCATATCATAAACCTTGCCAGGCGCACCAGCAATTGCTCGGGAAGTTTGTAATGCAAGCGTTGACCGTTGCGATCTTGATGGCCTGATTTGCCAGAGCGTCAGGAGATATATGGCGATGTCATTTCCGCGCCCTTTTTGATAGGGTTAGGGTTAGGGCTAATTGGGATGGGTACCCTGGCTGGGCCTTGTTGCAATGGCTCGATTGCCTTGCTCACTCCAGCCATACTGCCACGCTGTGGCAAGATTGAAGCCGCTTTCGTCTACTATATGTAAACAACCTTGTCAATTGTGATGCAAGAGAGCCATTCTGCGCACCATGCCTGCCGCTTTTCCTTAGTTGCCGCAAAATTACGTGCTGGTAAGTCACGGTGCACTCATTTGAGTGTAAAAGTGGCTTGGGAGGCTATAGCTCGCTGGAGAGTTGAGACAGAGAGAGTGCCAATGCTCGGATGGTGTGAAAGAAGATCGAGTGTCTTTGAGGGTAGACAGTGGGCGACGGCGCCAATACTGCTGGACATGACTGATATGCTCATCACCCAATCTGCTGCGTCTTGTGGGCCCTCCTTGACGTCTTTTGACCAGACTAGACGTCTTTTGAAGGCGGCTGACAATTGAAAAGACTGTAGAGATCTTCAGACCTCATTCTTGGGCAATGTGTTTGAAAGAATAGCGATTGTTGAGTCGCATGCGTACAATGCGCTTGCATCGCTCATCGCTGATGCGATTGTCGGTCCTGCGAGCTTCTGAGCCAGAAGTCTCAGTCTTTGAGGTCAAGGGGAAGCTTACGGGTGGTATGGAGATCATGGAAGTAGTGAAGGGGCACTGGACAATGTCGCATGATGAGGAGAGCAGCAGGAGGTGTCGCGGCAATGGAAAGTGCGTCTTAGATCTGTCAAAGCCAGCAGCTGTCTGCTTCCGCACTTCCTGCAAATATTACGCAATTGGACTGCCTCTTTTTCGCATTGTGGCGCAAATTTCAGCACATATGCAAAATTTACGCAATTGCGTGGAAAAATTACCCACGCGGAACGCAAAATCCCGCATTTGAGCGCAACGCGGAGTACAGCCTCTAGAGGTACAGTCACGCTTAAATCAGTGCACAGAGACTTGCCAACGGAGTCACTCTGCTGCAAACAAACAAAGGTGGCAAGCATGGTGCGCGGATTGGCTTTCCCTGCTCACAATGAGTGAAGCAGTCGTTTCATCGTTGAATCTGGCTTCGACCTGGCCACCGCAAGGCAGTACTGTATGAGTGAAGTGGACAGTGCAAGCAAGCCAGTGATACTGGACCGAACCAAGGCGCAAAGTGGCCCTCATTTGTAGCCGTCTCCGCTGAGAAACAGGCCTTTGCACACCAGATTCGCTTTGAATAGTCAAAGTTAGCTGTCTAGCTATCTTCTGTGCGGCATTTACCATTTCCATCGGGCACATCAATGTGAGCGGAGCGGCTATCCTGACGCGCACTGGCTAGTATTGAGTGACAAAAGGAGTATCCTCTGAGGCCCCCTACACGCCTGGTCCTCGACTCTGTAAGCGCGTTTTGTATTTGCCACAGGCTGGTCCCTGTTGCATTAAATTGCGTAGTTTCGCATGGTTAGAAAGTAAACTTTGCAGTCGAATGCGTCATCTTTGCGTGTATGCAGGTTGTTGCTGAGCAGGGCGTAGAAGAAATATCGCATCTTTCCAAATTCCCCGAGGTGTCCTACATAGACTAAAGCCTCAAAGAATTTCACAATATCAAAGACAGCAGTGTAGGAGTGAGTCAGGTGCAAGCAGGTGTGCAAGAAGCTCCTAATGCCAAAATCAGGCACCGGCAGCATTAGACTTACGCAGAGTGGTGCCCTTTTCTTTCTTTGCTGGGCAAACACATGCACATGCTGTAATTGTGACGTGTGTGTATGCAGAAAGCACTCATCGGGACTGCAAAATACTGCACTGTCTGCAGAGATTACTTTTTTCGCTGCAATGCAGAGACTTCTTTTATTCACTCAATTCTAGCCAGATGCTCGTCACAGTAGCGGCAGTGCTCAAGTTCTGGTGCATCTCACGAGATCTTGGTGCGGCTCTAGGCAGAGCAACAGAACGCCACTTCAATTTTGCTGCCGAGCTCCGATGAAGCCACCGCTTGGGCAGCCACCACGCGAACACCACGCAAACACCACGCAAACACCACGCAAACACCACGCTTTTCACAACTTCTCATTGATTTCAGGACAAAGACTACAGATCCGTTGAGCTCTGAGATGAGCAGAGAGCGCCCGAAACATTTGTTCGGCTTGAGTACTCGCTGTCAAAGTCGCCTGCAGGGGTGAAGGGATTGTGCAAGCGTCCCATACAGTAGGCGGTCTAGAGCAACTAGCTGCTATCTATTGCTGAATTTCGCTGACGCGCGAGGCAGGCCGCGAAAATCTAAGTCAAGCCACTCTTTTTGGCATCATTTGGCTACGACTGAGTGAGACAAGGAGTAGATTGTGGTTGTGGGCTACTGTACGGATTAAGATTCACATTGGCGAGGAGAGACCGCAAGGTCAGACCCCAACGAGTAAGATACTTCGAGACACCGGAAAAAAAAGCTTCACACCATGACGAGGGAGCGCAGGTGATACTCAATCTCAGGAATGTAGCTTTGCATGGTAGCCGGTATTTTCAGAGACGTAACACCGTACAGTGGGACATTTGCTCAGTGCTTCTGCCCCTGCTGGATACGTTGACAGCCAACATCCGACCCACACTAAGCACTATAGCGTGTCATCTCCGTCCCAAAGTGAGCTCACCGCACTATAGCGTGTCATCTCCGTCCCAAAGTGAGCTCACCGCACCCGTTCGGGATTCTCTTGAAACCAGCACTTAAGATATAAACTCGCAAGCGTGCATATCAATTAGTTCAGGTACGATTGAGATCGCCGCTTGCCCATTCCGCTCACGACAGTACGCAGCTAGTACAGCGTTCTCAACTGGGACTGCATGACGAAGGAAGTGGATTGGACCCTGTTTATACCCGACAAGTCCATAATGCCATTCAGTCGTTTGGAGGCTAAGGCTACTACGGTAGCTGGAATTGCTTGACGCGTGCGTCAAGAGACCGCTTGCATGGTGGCTCGCAGACAAAGAAGCGCTGTTAAGAAGACGGACCAAGTATATTGCCCGCTGAACTAGCTCTTCGCATCTTCCTCACCTGCCGGTCACATCCGCCGCAACAAGCATTGCCCCTCGATGCACAATTGAACACAACAGTACAGTACCAATGCAAGTTGCAAGCAGTCTGCTGTCAGAACGAGGTGTTCCGAAGTTGTGTCTGTCCGAACGGCTGCCACGGCAGCGACGGTAAGACCACGGCAGATCACGTGACCCCGTTGATACGCTTTCCGCGCTTGTGCTGACATCGCGCTGCAGCCTGATCTGCCTTGAAGCCTTTCTTGCCGTCTTTGACTACCCCATGGCACACTCACATGTTGTCAGACCCTACTGTGATAGTATGACCAGGCGACGGGTCATGGACACTTGAACTGCAGGTAACACTCACCCCTACAGCTTGGAGTGTCTGTAGCACGGCTTGAGTCACGGCGGTCGGGCACGGAGGGATCCGCTGTGCTCGACGACACACGACTCCGTTCCGGACCCCCTTGTCGTTTCCACCCCTCCTTCGCTGGCATCTGCCTGTTCGTCGAACCGTCGATAGTTACCTCTAGCACAGAGGCCGATGGTCCTGCGGAGACAGGGCCTGGCAGAGGTCTGTGATCCGGATGGGCATTGGAATAGTGTCTGATGCGCGTGGCTGAGGGAAAAGGTTGAGGGCACGAGGCTGGGGACGAGCTTGCGGGGATAATCCGGGAGCGCGCCATGACAGCCTGCCCCGTTGGCGCTGGTGCCCTGCACACATCAGCACGGGGGGCCTGCCAATGGGGGACCTGAGCAAGGGAGGCCGAGCACCGGTGCCTTGCATACCATTTATCACCTGCATGGCGCTGGTCCGGTGCATGGCGCTGGTCCACTGCATCGCGCTAGTCCTCTGCATCGCGCTAGTTAGTTGCATAGCGCGATTTAGCCGCATAGAGCGAGTTACCCGCATAGGGCTTGGTACCTGAATAGTCCTTGGTACCTGAATAATGTGTCGTACCTGAATAGCGTATTGCTGTGTGCCTGGGCGGTGTGCTGGCGTGGCGCTGGCTCGGCTCCAATCTCCACTCCCTACTTCCGCCCTCTGCCTGTACGAATCGTTTCTCTGGTCTTCCATCGACTAATACACAGACTTCGCAAAGCACAGACGGGAGGTGGCGGCAGCGCCGGAGAGGTCATGCGCGACCTCGTGGGCGCAGTGGTTCGTCCGAGCCAAAGCAAGGGGTCGTGGGTCGCGCAGCCGTTGGAGTGTACTCTTCCGGCGCCGGCTTCCTCCAGAACCGCCTCGATCGCAGGTGGCTTTATCCCCAAGTCACGACGTCTTCACCATGCCTGCAAGTAGGTAGTAGCCGCCTCATCCCTGCGGCGACTGCGCCCGTTCTCTTCGTCGCTTCTGCGCTGCATCGTGACGGCAGCAGACCAAGCCCCCGATCCAGCTCCAGTGCCTCCTCCACCGCTCAGAAGGGCCACTGCCAGCAGATGCAAGCTAGTCGAAGCGGACATGCTCCCTCAAACAAAGAGCCCTTTTCTTGTTGCCTGCACGCCTCGTCCTTTTGGTCTATGCACAAGTCGACCCGCCGGTCCCTCTCTCCATGTTCCGCCCTTTTGGCTCGCCCTTTGACGGGAGGTCCTCCCGCGACTTTGTGCGGCCCATGGAACTGCCACGAGACGTCGTCGGGCTCACAATCCGACGGTAGTTGGGTCGGGGTCTTCCGCTGCATCTGTCAAGAGGTGGACATGATCCACCAACTCGTGGCGCTAGATCTTACAAAGCTGCCAGGACCATGCGTTGCGGGAACACCTTTGCGCTGCTGTGGCTACGGGTTCCCAAGCGCCAAGTCTTCTCGGACAGCAGGTCATGAGCAGAATCTACTTTTCTGGGCAATTTTGGCAAAAACACCAGCGCCATCGTCAGTGACTCTTTGCCCAACGACAAGGGAAGATGATGCTTGCCATTTCCACGAACGTAGATGAACACTCGGTGGTACCCGTCAAGAGTGGCAGGCTGAAGAGACGATTAGAGAGGTTCGACTTCCTGCGATCGAGCCTCCTGCGATCAACCTTGAAGAGGAGACACACGTCGAGCATCAAGAGGAAAATGACAAGGCTTCCGCAACGCAGACTCGCCGGCAGGAGCAGGGTTTTTGACGATTACAAGCCAGCCAGGAGCGCCGTCCCGTCGCTTCTCGTTTCTGAACATTTTCCAATGGTGCGAACGAGGCTGTGCCGAAGGGAAGACACAACGAGACAGCGCCCGAGTTGGGCGAAACACAGAGGGAAGGACGGCAACACTCGTGCGAGCCCTGACGCATACACGCAGGACTCCCCGGTCGAGTCTAAACTCTTCAGACCTGACGAGATTGGCGTTTCAACGGCAAGAACAAGGAGTACTGCATTTGGGTTACACGCTTTGGCACCCTCCTCGACTCAGCACACGGCGCATGGCACGACCGAACCATTGAAGTACCTGCTCTCTGCCTCGGCGAAGAGGGGGCCGATTGGGGTACGCCGGTTTGCACGACAGCAACAGGGAAGCTCTCAAGACCTGGCAAGCTTGGGTTGCTGAGATGGATCTGGCTCTCCGACCCCACGAAGCTACCTTGAGACAGCTCGCTGATGAGCGAAAATGGGACTGCATCAAGGATAAGCACGTACTACTACCAAAAACCGGCCCTGCTCTGAATGGCATACCCAGACAGGAGCACGAACAGCTTTGTCACCCACATCAAGCTGGGAAGCCCCATGGAGCTTCACGCGTTTATCCGTCAGAATCTGGCCAACAACCCCGTCGCAAGCTGATTGCTTCACGAACTTCGTAACAGGGAGCCTGCCATGAGGATCCATGCCGAGAAGATGGGACTGATTCCTAATACTGTCGCTTCCAATCCAACTTCCACTAGGATCGTCGTTCCCAACGCTCAACAGGCTCGACCCGACAATCTCGCCTTCGCGAGGAGATTCAATCTCAACAATCACAAGCAGACCTTTGAGGCCGGCAATCACTATAAGGAGAACGGGATCACAAAGTACCGCGTCTCTGGTACCAATAAGGCCATGACGCTCTCTCGAGTCTGCGAAACGTACCAAAGTCAGCACTGGGGTCGAATGCACGAGCTACTCTTCCCCAAAGGCAGCATCAATTTCGGAATGGGTCGAATCACACAACTCCTCAAGTGCGGGCAATGCACTGGCAATGATAGGTCACCTCTCGGCCAATACGGAAGTGAGGATCACCGAACTCCCCTTGGTACCCTTGCCGGGAAAAGTTAAGCGAGCAGCCATTCAGATCTGAATGCGACACAGCTCTCTGAGCAGGTGTTGCCTCCGCAGACAACCTTCTCCGGGACGTCGCTGCCTCCCCCATAGACTCACACGGTCACCATACTAGGACCGAATTCTATCGCCTGGCTCACTTTACACGGAGCAAAGACCTTAATGGTGAATCCGACTCTTGTTGACATCACCCTGAATGGGAGCGCTGGCGCGACCGGCACCTCGGCTCTCCCGAACCTTCCGGGTGTTGGCACTAGCAACTCGCTTCTCACTCATAGACGCTTCCATCATCCTTGACACCCTTCGACAACCCATCCAGGGAGGAGAGCTCACCGACACCAGTATCGGCTCAAGCCGCACTTTGGAATACGCTACTCTGGCTTTCAGGATCGAAGAAGAGGATTTCCTCGGCCCTCACAGTCTACGCGTCCAACACGATTTCTACATCGTCGACAAGCTCAAGGCAAGGCGTCGAGTGGATCCGGGGGCAACGCATCGTGCTTGACGTGGCAAAGGGCAGGGCTACTCGCGAAGTAGGCGCAGACTCAGTACATTGGATCGTCTGGTGCCTCGGCCCCTGTCCCAACACGCCTGCGCACGCCGCGCTTGTGTGCAACAAGGCAATCACTATCCCGGCTCGCCACCACGCTTGGTTACAGTTCCAGTGGGAACCCTGGATCGCTCTCGACGCCACATACTTGACCGACCCAAGCTCTTGGGCAGAACGGCGAGGAGGTCCAACTCTCCCTTCCCTGTAGTCTCATCACCGCTGGCCGAAATAAGCACTTTCCCTTTAGCAATGGATCTGACAGGGACGCCGTCACCGCCTTCCGTGCATTCCTTACAAATGCACACCTCTGCCTCCAGCCTCTCATCCAGACCAAGGAGTTGATGTCCATTGAATACACGCCCTGGAGTAACAGGCATTACAATGCGCAGACGATATGTTCGACGCTTTCTCGGGCGCGACTGTTTGCTCCCTTGATATGGAAAAAGCATAGCACCAAGTGTATGTAGCACCTCAGGACCGTTGGAAGATCCCTTGCGCCAGTGACAGAGGGTATTTCCAATGCAAGCGAAGAGGACAGGGCGCTAGCCATTAGGAATGTACGGCCTCCTACCAACCTTTCCGACCTCTGGAAGGTTCTAGGGCTTTGGAATCACTACCGTTCTCACATCCTCGAGTTCGCCCGTAAGGGAGCCCCGCTGCAGTCACTCACAGAGGGCATCAGATGGGAAAAGAGGGCATCAGATGGGAAAAGA